GGAGTTGGCACTGAAATGTTCAGAGGAACCTAAACTATTCTAAAGGAGTATTTGATCAAATTGCTTGAAATCTTTCTGATTTTTAACTTGGTTTTATATCACTACAAACAAATATGGCCATCACACAGTGACAGTCTCAAATGACATCCTCACCTTACCAATTTTCCATCTTCTGTTTTGTTAAGGACATTTGTTCAACTTTGAGAAAGAAAGAATGGAAGCTATATTTTATGAAGCCCAAAGGAGTTCTGAAGGATCTTTCTAGGTTTACCACTACTATAGATTCTGTACTGCATTATTTGCCTTCTCATTGCTATCCTCAAAAGCAATTATCACTTCTCGCAGTCATGTCTTAGAAGTTGCTGCTTAAATTCGTCCTGGCTATAAAAAAAAACATAAGTGAAAAGGAAGTTAAGAATGTTGGCTGAAGGTACAAACTCATTTCAGTTAGGTGAATTTGGAGAGGTTTTAAGAAATACTGATACATTGCAATGCACTGGACTGACAACAATAGGTTGCATTTGTAGGTGGGAATATTTTATGTACTACACATAGGACAAAAACAACTGCATAATTTGTCACATGTATAGCAAATGCTGAAACTGGCCACCCACAGCAGTCTTGCCCTCAGTGGATTCTTTTGGTGCAGGCTGGTGTTACTGACATCCTCAGAATTCCCCAGTGGATATCCATTCCCAGAGGTCCTTGCCTGCCTGCCCTTAATGCCAGCAAGTGTATGGGAATCTGTTGAAGAGCTGCAGCACAGTAGCATCAGGAAGGGGTTCTCCATATCCTGCCTGTGGGCCAAAGACAGCAGCCAGCCCTGTGCTGAAGGACAGAGCTGAGGGCATACAGAAAAGTGTCTGGACCTCTGAGCTTCCACTTCCCACCTCAAGGCAGGTTTAATTATTTGTACAAAGCACAATGCCTCCAGCACAAGCAACAGAGACCTTCAGCCAGAGTGAACTGGCTCTCGTCTCTAATAAATCACTAATAAGCCTCCAGCTGGAGGAATCCAATAGCTGCAGGAGACAGGTTTCAGCCCCCTCCCTGTTTGTCTCAGAGCAGCCCCAGTTCCTTCATGTCTTGCTTGTGGTGTAGCTGGAAGCCTCAGTCACTGGGATGCCAGGAAAGCCAGCAGTGGGGGCTCTCCTTCTACATTTAATTGCAGAAAAGTTCAGGTGCCCAATTTCTGGAACCCATTCAGTGCTAGAAAGGAGGCATCCAGTTCTAGGAAGCAAGACACTTGATCTATGAGCCCCCTTCCCTCCTTCTGTATTTCCCCCCTTATTTATGCTAACTAGCTTTCTGCACAGCTGCTTTGAGAGGTTCATTCTTCCCCCCCTGCATAAGAAAGACCGCAAAAGTATCCTTTTGCTGTCTCTCTGGTTGAAAAGATATTTGCCCTCTGTAAAAATGCCATGAAAGGTCAGTTAAAATGTGGCTTTGTTTTTATTATGTAGATAATATAAGTACTTTACTATCATTAGAGAGTATTATAAAATGTTCTTTCATGAAAATGGGCGCTGGATAATCGTAGCATAGAAACACAGAAGGGTTTGGGTTGGAAGGGACCTTAAAGATCATCTAGCTTCAATCCCCCTGCCATGGGCAGGGACACCTTCCACTAGACCAGGTTGCTCAAAGCCCCATCCAACCTGGCCTTGAACACTGCCAGGGATGGGGCAGCCAAAGCTTCTCTGGGCAACCTGCTCACTGCCTCACCACCCTCATAATGAAAATATTTTTTTTCCTGATATCTAATCATGATCCCTACTTGAATACACAATTTGAAAACGCTTAGCAAAGGCAGAGCATCTTGAAAGTAACAGAAAAGCATGTGATAATGAAAAGCAGAAATGACCAAGGGAAGAGCGATAATAAAAAGTGGTGATAAAGTATTCCTACACATAACCCACGCAAGACAACAAAGAAAATATTAAACCTCACTTATTCTTTTTCCTTACAGCCCATGGAGAGGGAGGCAACAATTAATGAACCATAAAGCTCAACTCGAGCCTTGGGGCTTGCTGTCAGCCTGCAAGAAAAGAGTAGAGCTGTCAATGTAACACCGTGAGGGTTTTCCAGGGTGGGTGGCTTGATGACCACGTACAGCACTGGTAACTGCACACGGACTCCTCACAGGGGTGTCACTAAGGGCTCTGCGGCTGCTTGCACGCAGCCCGCGGGGCAACCCACGCCCGTTACGCCGCGCCGCGCTTCCCGAAGCTGCCGCCAGAGGATCCCGCCGCCGCGCCCGGAGATGTAGGAGGCTGGTGGGATTGGCGGGCGCAGAAGGGGCGGGGCGGCACCGCCGCCGCTGCGGGGAAGCCGCTGCCGGCCCGGAGGGAGGGGAGCGGAGGTCCTCAAAGCTTTGCACAGGGCTGGCGAAGGTTGGGCTCCACGGCCAGAGGGGTGGCGCGGGACTGGGCTCGCCGTCCTCCGTTTGCAAACAGCCGCCGGTTTGTCTTTTCTCCAGGGAATTCTGCCCTATTTACACCGACCGCCCGGGTAGTGGCAGAGGGGAAGCGGCCTCGACCCCTCAACCCCTCCCCGAGCCGCTCTTGGCAGAGCACCCCTGGCCCGCGCCGCCCGCTGCCGCTGCATCATTTCCCCGGAAGTTGGCTCTGCTGGGCTCGGCTTTTATTTATTTAAACCGGAGTGTGTGCGAATACACACCTTTTTCCGTACGTGGCCAGCGCGCGGGTAGTCGGCGATGGCAAAGAGTCTCTACCTGCGTAGAGCGCTTCCCGTCCTTGCTTTCCAAACGGTCAAGCACTGCGAGCCGGGACGTGGATAGGGCCACCCCGGAGCCTTGAGTGGTGTTTCCATAACCACCAGACTTCAGGAAACCTTCGGGTACCTGAAAACGCTCCTGGCCGCAGGGAGCAGCGAGCTCGGTGCCGCCGGGACCCGCCAGTCCGGACCCTGGCCCTAGCCGGAGCTTCTCCCGTAGCTGCGGGGCGGCTGCTCCTCCGCTCGCCCCGTCCAGCCTCCCGCTCGCCCCAGCAGCGCCGGTGTTCCTGCAAAGTTCGCATCAGCGGTTCGCGGTGCTGCTTAGCCGGCCGCGCCTGAGTAAAGGCGCGCTTCCACATAGCTATTTCTGGTGAAATCCAGGCAACCTCCGAGTTCCTGCAATCCCCTCGCTTCACCTTCTCCCTTTCCCTTCTCCTTTCCCTTCCCTTCTTCCTCCCTTTTTTACTTTCCCTTCCTTTCCTTATTTTCTCAAGGCAACAGGCGTTCTGGAGTCACCTGCACTGTTCTGGCGCTGGAAAAGAGCCAAAGTCTTGTAACAAGTGATTATTAGCAATTCACAGTAACTGCAGTTAGCCAAAGCCAACACGAGAGAACTGCTGTATAATCTAGTGCAGAGACGTTTATGTTGAAAACTAAAAATCCTGAAGTGCATAACTGGGAATTAATTGCCTTGCTCAGAACGGATTTTCCCTAAGGTGTCTCATTCCTTCAATAAATAACTTCAGGAACAGAACTCTCTCCAACCAGCTCTTCTAGGCATCATGTAGGAGTTATGCTAAAAGCAAAATTGCATCTTCTAGCAGAACTTTTTTTTTTCTCTTAATGCAATATCATAACTAAAACTGACTCCCCCAAAAGCTGGAAATTATGTCTAAGGGAGGAGGAAGCAAAGGTTTACGCTGCCGAGACTCCTGATGACAGTAAAACGATCACTCGTTGTACCTCTAGCAGAGCTTTTAATTTCCAGATTACCGTCATGTAACTGAGATTCTGTCATTTCCCATTCTGAAAGCAAAGGGGAATATTCATATCACCCCGATGCCTGGTGCAGAGCTCCACACACCTGGGGAGAGCTGAAGTCACTAAAAATCACATCTGTAGTGTTCTTAGTGAAGTAGAAAAACACACGGTGTCCAGACCCAAACTACTCTAGCCCTGAATACACTTGGCTGCTGTCACATTTCCGAATTCTCACAGCAGAAAATCCTCATTTATTCTGAAGTTCCAAATACACACATAAATCCAGGTAGCTCGGTCCACCGCATCTCTCTCTCTTGCATATACATGTTACAGGCATGCTGTATGCTTATCTATGCGTGTCCATGCATTTGTATAGTGCATGCAGACTTCTACATACATACATACAGGTAGATACAGAGGCATGGTATAAAGGCTCTGAGTTGTATATGTCTGTCTTGTCTGTAGAAGATTGTGCTGTAGGTCCCCCTCTGTAGCTGCCCCGATTACATGGATCTACACCTATATGTACATCGGGATGCCGGTGGTTCCGACCACCCCGAGACCAGAAACAACGCCGACCCTTCTCCCTCCGTCTGAGGAGAGGCCCTCCGGTGCCAGGGGTGGGGGGCATTCTGCAAGTGAGTACGGGGATTGGGGGTGGGGGAACCCCTCCGAAACAGTGGGGGGATGCTGCCGCCAGGCGCCAAAGCCCCCTCAGAGTCGCCCCCTCAGGGGGCATCGGGCTGGGCTGATGTCCGGGCTGGCTGCGGCTGGCGAGTTCGCTGCTTCCCCTCTCCCGATTGCGTGTGTGCGCCGGCGGGGCGGGGGCAGGGTTCACTTCCCGGCTCCCCCCCATCCCTTGCCGGCGAGGAGGGTACCTGTTGGGCAGGGAGCGGGGGACGCGGTGCTCCCCGATGCGGGGCGGCCCCCGGCAGCGCTCCGGTGCCGCGCTGCGGGGCTGGCGCTCCGCGGGGGGGGGCGAGGTGCCCCCCTTTCCCACGCCCCAGCCCGCCCTCCTCCCGGCCCGGCCCGGCGGGGCCCGGGCTCTGCCGCGCTGTGCAGAGCCCGGGGGGGGGCACGGCCAGCGCCAACCGAGGGGCGGGAGAGGCCGCGCGGCTGCTCTCGGCAACCGGCCGCCGGGAAGGAAGCGGGAAGCTCTTAGCTCGGTATCCGCTGAGCACCTGTCAGCGAGTGGAGCCTGATTTACACCCTGGTTTAAACCCTGGCAGCCGCCCCGCTGGGGATCTCCCCCTCGGAACACTTCTTTTTGTGTTGGTTTTTCTTTTTTTTTTTTTTTTTCCTTCCCTTTTCTCCTCCCCCCTCCCTTCCTGGAGCGGTGTGAAAGGGGGTATTTTCTTCAGGGTATAAAACTGAGAATACCGAGGAAGAGAGGCTAAGAGCTTCACCTCATTGCCTCATTCTGTCTTTCACATGAACATTCTCTACAACGTTTCCTTCGTCCTGCTGTACCTCTCACCTGGCCAGCGTTGCCCGGATCATGTCCGCTAAACCCGCTAAGCTCCTGCCGGTTTTCTTCCTCCTCTCAGTGTTTCACGCCTGGTAAGTCTGCAGCCCCTCGCCTCCTCCACCCTCGCTTCTAGCTCCGGGGCTTGCGGGATGGAATCCCGCTCGCCGGAGTTTGCCAAATACTCGGTGCCCGAGAAGGATCGCAGGCTCTTCCTTTCTCCCCACGCCGTGACAGGGCTTCATTCCTCTTCTCCCTCCCCGGACCCGCCTGGCTCCCTTGACAGCCGCAGCCCGCCTACCTGCACGGTGGCCCCGCCGCTGCCCCTCCCGGCCTGGCGTGAAGCCGGAGGTCGCCCAGGAGCCCTCTGTCCCCAGCCAGACCGGCACAAAGTTTTTCGCGCTCCGGCGGCTGCCAGGGTCTGCAGACGGCGGGAGGGCGGCCGCCGCTGCCTGGGCTCCCCTCGGCGCCAAGCAGCCGGCAGCCCCGGCTTCCCTCTGTGCCCCAGCCGCGGGGGCTCCGCTGACGGGGCCATCGTGAGGACGGAAAGGGCAGCCGCGGGGAGCATGAGTCCCTGGGGGTGCCCTGTTTCTGGGGGCGGGCGGTGTTAACCGCCGAGAAAAGGGACCGGGAGAAGCGTATGTGGCGGGCCGGGCCAGGGAATCCCTGGCCCCTGTCTCAGGAGAGGAAAGGGTTCCTCCGGCGGAGCTCCGGCAGCGGCGGGCGGTGAGGGGCCGGGCCGGGCCAACCGGCGGCGGCAGCCGTGATCTTTGGGTTTAGGCTAGCATTCGGTCCCCGTGGTTGTCCAGGATACTAGGAAGGGCCCCTGCCTTACGACCCATGCGAATGGGTCACCTTAGTTCCCCCCCGTAGGGTCTGCCACAGACTTGCAAGCGTTCTCAGTGGCCCTTCCCTTCTTTTCCCTTCTCTATTTATTCATCATGATCTCAGCAGTCTGCCCCACACTGGAGTAGCAGCTCTTCTCCAGATCCTCAAAGGAACTAGAGGCTGCTTTATGCCAGCCCCCAGAGCAGGTCCGAGACACACATGTTGCAGGAAATAAACCCTTTCCCCACAGCCTCTCAGGGTTTTCCAGTCTTCCTCCTTTTTCACTGTCTCCTCAGAGGACCAGAAGTAGTGGCCTCTGAGGAGTTTGCAGAAGGTACTCAGCCTTTCTTCCTCCCCAGTTTGAGAATGGCCTGCCGTTATCCCACACTTGTTTCTGTGGATAGCAGGAACGTGATGGGAATTGGCAGTCACTAGTAAGTTTACAAGTGAAAAATGCAACCTCATGTACCTTCAAGGAGCTTAATTGTGCAGAGGCAGGCAAGGGAAGAGTAATAACAAACTTACAGAAAACAAAACACCTTGAAAAAAATACGTGTAGTGTGTTAGATCCACTGTGAAACTTCTCCCACCCCCAGTCTTAATCTAGAAGGTAGGTAGGAATTTACATAGTTTGGAAGTACTTTCTAGGAAAGGAGCTGCTAGAGTCAGGGTGTTCAAAAGATCTGCCAGTGCTTAGGCTGTTGCGAATGACTGTTTTTAAAGGAGTGGCTCCCTGAAATGGGAATCATGATCCTGCCTGAACTCATTTCTCATTTCCACATGCAGTCTAAATGCCTTCAGTAAAGTTGTGGGTGCAGCAGAAAAAAAAGACGTGTGTTTTGTGCTGCTTTTCCACCGGTTATTCGGTACCACTGCAGCGTTTCAGCTCTGAAATACCATGTATGTTTGGAGACGGTGCCTCCTTGGAGAATGGTTCTGTAACTACAGCATTAAGGCACAGATCCCAGCGTTAAGATCCCAGGAATCGGAGGGAGGAAAGCACAACAAAAAAAAAAACCAAACACAAACAGAACAAACCAAACCAAACCAAAATCCAAACTCCCAAAATCCTATTGGGGATTTAAAAAACTCATTGGGTCAATTATACAAAAAAGTTCAAGTTTTTACAAAATACAGCTTACGGAGAAGGAATGGTCATCTATTCAAAATTTCCCTTCAGTTTTCTCTACTTTCATAACTTGGTTATATGAACTGTCTCTGTAGAAAATCCTCGGGGGTTAGGTTTCAAAATTATTTTAATGTTGAAATTTTATCGTGAGCACTTTTAATTTGTGAGGTAGTGTTAAATGATTCATGGCTAATCCTTAGGGGCATATTGGCTGTAGAGCAGTTCCGATTAAGAGTTTCATTAAATGCTCAAATGGTGGTCCACAAGCAATGTTAAGAGTCAGTGATGCTCTGTGATTAAATTTTTATACTTGTATTCATATTTTTTTTCTGTTCCTGCAGAGTGCCCATCAGGTTTTCTGGACATCTGAGACTTTTTAAGGAGAGGGAGAGAGAGAAAAAGGAGGTTGCTCTGATGCATGTAGCACATGCCATGAATAAGCAAGGCTGGTGCCTCTGACTCTCCATTGCTTTGCACCTTGCTTAATTATTGACATTTGTGAAAAAAGGTTGCAAAATGATACTGTGTCGCCAGGGCAATGATTACTGGCTCATGATCACTGCTGTAGGTTCCACCAGAGAGGTTATCTGTTCTCCTGATAACTTTATCTCAGTTTAACTGTCATAGATTTTCTCCAGTGAGAGACATCAAGCAGATTTGGTTTCCAAGATACCAAAAGATACATCTTCAAATCAACATTTTACTGTTTAGGCGTAAAAAAGCGCACAAATGAAATTAGCCTTGTGTGAAAACAGCTCTAGCTGTGATTTCTGGGCAAACTAGTTCACCAAATCTGTGTTAGCATACTCTTAAAATAAAAATAATCCACCTATGAAGGAAAAGAAGCCTCAACTCTTTGGGTAGTACCATTTTTTTAAAAAATGTCACTGAAGCCACAGGGAAATTCAGTTCAATTTATGCAATGTATTTGTGTGCTTGTGATAATCCATCTTCAATTCTAGGAGCAAGCTCTTAATTCTAAACCTTGTAATGCATTAAACTCTAAAATTCAGGCACTGAGAATATTATAATTTATTAATAGGATAAAATGATCAGGAAGTATTAAAAGATCTGAATTTTTAATACTCTTATTAGCCTTTGTGCAAGAGATGGATCAGTTGCCTTGATGTATTAATAAAATAATACTGCAGATGTTCACTCTTCATAAGAGTGTATTGTAAACTAACGAGTTGGGATAGCTTGGTTAAAATACAGGATATATAATATTACTCCCATAGCTGTATTAACTCATGTTTTGAGAGACTGGCAGAAGACTATGTATAAACAATTCTCAGTCATGGCCCATTGACAGATTCTCAGCGATTGTTAATGGAGCATCCTGTGGCAAAAATAGCCTAAGGATGGGTAGAGGCAAGACCAAGGGAGAGATCTAATACTTCTTCAACTAAGTGTGGAGATTTAGCCAGAATGTAAAATTCAGATTTTAGTTACATGAAGTAACATCTATTTGTTTGATTTATTGCAGTTCTAGAAAGGTTGAAGAGGATGAATATGAAGATGGAACAACTAACCAAAAATGGGTTTTAGCTCCAAAAACACAAGACACTGATGTGACTCTCATACTAAACAAGCTGTTGAGAGAGTATGACAAAAAGCTGCGGCCAGATATTGGAAGTAAGTACCACTTTTTGCACAAGTGCAGAGAAGCATCATTATGTACAGAAAAGACATTATGTTATACTTTGGCTAGTGTGCACAAATGGCTGGCAAAGTAGTTGATACACTTATTAAGTGATCCCTTTGGGTCAGTTTAGAGGGAAGTAAGAGCCATCTGTATATGTTCACCATTACAGTTATTAGTGTCTCATAGCTATACAGTAATGCAGCAGTTCCAGAAAAGAAACAAAGCCAAAACCCATGCTGTGTTGTGAAAGAAAGTGTTCTTGTTTTGGTTTAGTTTGTTGTTGTTTTTTTTTTCAGAGCTATTACTTTGATTTTTCATGGTATTTACGAAGATCATATTTGATAAGTATGTCTGTTTTTAACACAGTCACATCTCTTAGTTTCTCTTACTGAATTTAGCTGATCTTTAATATCTGATGGAGAAGTGCTTTAATGCAGTACCCCACCCATATCAACATCTGGAAGACATTCTCAAACACATTTTTTATTTTACTTTGTTCACAATGTTCTCAGATCACTGACTTCAGGCAGAGTAAATTACGTTATGTCTATGCGGGGCAAAGTAATCATGTCAGTTGGCCTAAAATCAGTAGAGGTCAGAAAAATATCTTGCATCACTGGAAAATTGTTACCAATATAATTCCTTTTGTCTCTGCACAAAATTTCATAAATCCTGTTTTAAAGAAAGGAGTTAAATTACACAGCTCCTCATATATTGTACCAAAAAGCGATTTTACAGTTCTTAACTACATCTGTCTATTTCTATCAATCATCTCTGTCCTAGGCCATTTTTCTAGGCCTGGTAGGATTTGATAGGAATCTGGCTATTTCAGAACCTGAGCAGAGTGTTGTTCACACACTAGAGAAGTTAGTTCACCTCTGCTTCCTTCACTGGTCCCTCATCCCTCCTTTCATGCCTTTGATGCAGATGAATAACATTGCCCTTTTGAAGCTCAGGAGCAGCTGCATTTGTCAAGGAGAACACGAGGGGAATGTTAGAGAACCAGGCATTATATCTAGCTTCCCCGAATTGCTGGCCTGTAGCCTGCACATAAGCATATCTCCCTTTCCATCTGGGAGAAAGTTACTAGTTATCCTCCTAACTAGATGGTTGACTTGTCCTGGCAACTGAACTGTGTCCCTGCCCTGAAGATCCAAGTTGGATAAAGCAGAATGCATAGCAGTTAAAGCACTAAGAAAAAAAGTAGTGGATCAGGTAACATAGAACATACAGTAAGAAAATGCATGTTCTGGAATGAATAGAAAGCATGGAATGAACCAGTGGAGGAAGAGAAAGATAAGTCTCAGGATCAAGCAGAAGTGCCACCAGTAAAAGATGCTGAGGATTAAATCTAGGACTAACATGCAGTCAGTTACTCATTAGGACCTTTATATTTGTGCAGTGCTGCCTGTAAGGAAACCGTCTGCCCCACAGGACAGAAGACACCCACTGTTTCATGCCAGATTGATCTTCACTCAGTTTTCTAATCCTTTCTTGCAAAGGCACTGTTTCTAACAGTGAATAACTTTAGCTATGCTTCTGAGGAAATGATCTTCTTTCTGAATGCTGACAGAAAGACCTAAGAAAATTCTGACTTCTTTGCTCTTTCAAAGGTTGGGATTTTGATTTTTAGATCACTCAGGAGCACACTTTTGCAAGCCAAAGGCTATTGAGAGGAAAAGACTGGCAAATAGAAGGTATTGAAGTGCATGATAGCCTATGCAGTGACTTTTCTGTGGTTTTTCATCCTTCCCAGGGCAGCTGATGTTTTGCCTAGCTAAGATGTGTGCAGCTACCACCTGTTGCTGTACAGGCATATTCTCAGTGCCCATTTGCTATAATACGGGCGCTGAGTTCTTCAGTAAACACGTACCTCCAGGTCAGGAGTATAGCTACCATTGAATGAACTCCTATGAACACTGAGCCACCCTCCTTCCTCCTCCACCACCTTTTGGAACAAAGCAGTGTTCTACCAGGAGGGGAATGCCTCACTGCATCCCCTGTGGCCACACACTTGGCAGAGTTCTTGTCTCCATAAACATCACAGCTTGTGAGGTTTTTAATTTTAATGGTGACATTTGGCAGTTTTCCATTATGCTACAGAACATACCCACCTTTTTAGAATTAAGAAATAAAAAGAATAAAAAGCACTGCACACTGAACAGCTTATACCAGTGTACTGATTAGATCAAAAAGGAAAGTGCTTTAAGGAGACAAAGCATATTTTCTACTTACGCTTTGCTAGTTACAGTTGTAGGTCTGAGAATTGTGGGCCTGTTGCATGGTGTAAAGGGCACTAGCTCCACAAAAGTAAACTCAGAATGAGTCTTAAAGGTCTTAAAATCTCTTCCATAGGCAGGTACTGTGGAGCTTGTTTCAAAGTCCTTTGGAGACTCATTCAATGGATATGCAATATATTCTAAGTGCAACTTAGAAGAACTAAGGCTTACTACCCTCCAAGAGTGATTTTTATTTTTTTGTACCCTCCTGTGTCGCACTGGCTTAAGTCCTGATGTAGGAATAAGTTCTGGCTCTAAAATTTTACTTCCTCTTTATTGGTAAAATAAGAATAGAAATACTAGGCAAACCAAGAGGCCACAGAGTAGAATGATGATAATTACAGCTAAAAAATAATCTGTCTTATTTGGGTTCTGTTAACAAACCGGGTTTTTGTCATTGCTCAATTTGTGATTAACTGATTTAGAATTTAAGTTCCGTTGAAAAAAAACCAAACCCAGAATGCAACAAAACCAGTGAAGCAACCTACAAGTAAGTTAAATAGTATGTGACAAAACATATTTCCTTCAAAGTCAGTTTACTTTAATGAAACCTTCCCTCTCGCCTTCCTTCATAGACAGCTTAGTTCACAATGGAGTCCTGGAGAATAAAAGCTAGCTTTATTATCTTTATATGGAACATGGGTTTCCTGAGATAGAAAGCCTGTAACAGTGTATTCTTCCAAAGTAAAAGTTTTGCTAATCACTTTCCCTAAGTGAACTTTACATCTGAAAGATAATACACTATCATTTTCTTTCATTGTGAAAGTCATCTTACCCACCAAAAACTTTAATATGGGAGAGGTTTCTAAAGTGTGCTATTAGTAAAGGGAGAATAAAAATCTCATCCTAGACCAGGCTCAGAGCTGCAGTTCTCATTTGGAGCTTGAAGAGCAGTAACTCTTAAGAGTTGCCTTTCATGGGTTTTGCTTACCTGAAGGAAAAGATCTTTTTTTCTCGTGTTCATTAAGAAGCAATAACTAAATGTGGGCCAAAATTTCAGTGATGACAAGGGAATAGTAATGTTAAGGTTAGTTCATAAGCTGAGCTAAACTCCAAGCTTCCCTCTTTATCTCAACCTAATGTGAAAGAAAACATTTTATTTCACCCGTATGTTTTGGAGAACAAAACTGTTCCCTGAACATCTCTAACAAGCAGTTACCTGAGCTCTTTAATTCCAATGGAAAAGATATTCAAAACCACACATACTGCAATCTGATCAGATACTCTCCAGCCTTCCTGGCCCTCTCCCCAGCTCCTAAAACACCTTCAGAACACAGCAGGACTAGAATAAGGAGTTACACACACTTGTTAGGTACAAACAGACAGAGCTGCTGTCCACTAGCTTTCCACATGGTGTTCCTAATGTGAGAAGTGGTGTTAGGAAAGTGCTAACTTTCTGATTTTGCATTTTTAAAAAATGCCTAAAAAAATTTCTGCAGATTGTCTTAAGTTCTACTGAATCGTTCTGTTTTGTGTTTGTAATATAGTTACCTATAGGAACATTGTGATTTAAGAATTTAGCCTTTATGTTAGCATGGGTTGCTGCGTTAGTTGAAATCAGATGCTGTGTTGCTTGAGGTCCCTGTGCTCTGTGACATAATTAGCCTTAGTCCTTACTCTCTAGAGCATAACCAAAGCAACTAGGGTCTGTTGTACATAGAATGAGTTTTTTGACAAGCTGGAAAGGCAGCTTGGCAACAAAACTTAGGTTTAAGGTGACCTGAAGTAAATTGCCTTCATTATAATACTAAAAAACACACCCACAGATTGAGAAGACCCGTGCCCCATGCAAGCATAGTAACAGAAGAGAGTGACGCTGCAGATATTGTAACTGTATGTAAATCACTAACCAGTCATTGTAACTGGGAGAGTACTACCTTGTAATTTTTGTGTATAAACAGAATGATGAAATCAGCACTGGGTGTGCTTGATTTGTGGAAATTGCCCCTAGCACCCAGCGCTGCAATAAAGAAGTGCCTGCTTCTTTGCTACATTGGTGTTAAGGAGTTTTATTCTCCTGACTTTCAGTGACAACATCATAGGTAAAAAAACCCACAGAAGTTATTTCCCCTGCATTTCAGGCTGTACCAATGATCTTTACAGTTATAGTCTTTATAGTCTGCCAGGGAAGGTTTAATAGTTTCAGTTAATTTCTATTTCAGAGGCTGGAGCAAATAGTGCTGGTAAGAAAAAAAGCCAACCAGACAGGACTATACTGTAGTGTATGCAGACTACCCAGGGAAATTGAAGGTACAGTGTGGTCATAAATATTAGAAATAAAGCTAAAATAAGATAAAATCCAAACAAGAGAGAACTTCCTGTGCCTTAGAATTAGCTGACAGCAAGTTTTTCAACTGATATTTCTATTAATGGTCAACCAGAACTGAAAAGGCCAAGTGTCGTATGGAAGTCTTGTTTAAATGTGGTAATTTATTATATTAATTTATTCTTCCTATGTTTTCTAGTACCTGGTTTGTAAGCTGCCTGCCTTCTTATTTAAAAAAAAAAAAAAGTCAAGCTGACATTAAATCAGACTTGAGGCAAGAGCATTATGGGAGAGACAGAATAGGCATGAGTAATACGGATTGTACTGATAATATTCACTGAAAGGGTAGAAAAGAGTATGAAGATAATTTTTATTGCGTGTTTACATCTCCTGCTTCTCAAATGTACCATTGTATTAGAGAAAGCTCTGAATTGCACATGATGAA